GGTGGCCCCGGTCCCCGGGCGGGCGGTGCTGCGCCTCGGCCCAGTGCCACGGGAAAGGATTTGGCCCGGCCTTGGGCGCTGCGTTGCCGGGTGGGATGGCGGCGGTGCATGTCCCTTCCTCTGCCTCTCCTTAAACCTCTGATTTAACCTGGTGTCGCTTAAAAAATTAAGGCCTGTTGACAGCCTCCCTTGTGGAGGGGGGGTTGTTAGGTTAGGGGTAGGGTTTAAGATGTATTTATTTATTGGTGAGGGTCTAATAGATCTGAGGGCTCCCTCTTCTTTTGCTCTTCCCTGGGCTGCTCATCGAGCCCCTTTGCCTAAGGGAGAGAGCTCCAGGCTCTCGGCTTGTCATGGGGATCCGTGCCCCTGGCAGGGAGCAGCGATGGGTTTGTGCTCTCTGAAAAACAGCTGCATCCTGCGCAGTGATCTGTGCTTGAATCTGGCCAGTGTGGCTGCTCAAGCTGAGAGAAGCCTCACTTGGAATTAAATAAAACAAACTAAGATGAATTCTGTTTTCTGTTACAGTTTTAAGCTTATGTCCAGAGGACAGAGCCAGCTTTTCTTATTTCTGAGCTAGCTCATACTGAAAAACCTTTAATATAAAATAAATAAGGTACCCATTTGTTTAATTTTAGTGGACAGGACCATTTGCTGCTATGATGTTCATTCAGTCAGGCTCGCCTTTCCTGAAAAGAATTGGGAAATAGCCTTATCATTATCTTTTGGGTCAAAGCTTATGGGACTCTCCTTCAAGTATTGCTCTAGGGTCAGCAAATTCTTCAGCAAGCCATGCCGCAGAGGCTGATGATTAAGTTTTAATATGGAAACTGGAATATGCTACTCTTCACAACAAACAATGGGCAAATGCTTAAATTGGAGAATTGCCCAGCCACTTGGCCAGGTTTTGACTGGTGTGCCTTATCTTGTGTTTTGCAGAGGCTTAAAATTCTTCCCCTAAATGCTTTTTTTTTTCTTCTGTTAAGCAGTCTGCGTCTTGTTAGGGTTTCTGAAGCTGTTGACCCAACATCTTAAATTGGTGAAGATTCTCTGGGTTGCAGAAAGTTTTGACCTGTATTCAGTGAAAGGAGGAGCCAAGAACCCTGCTGCTGCTTTTTTATACATATGGTGGTTAAAAGTTTGGCATAGTGGCGTCGGCTTTCTTCTTAACTTTGGTGGGGATGTGTTGTCATCAGTTCAGTAGACTACTAGACTGGTAAACTGAGACTTCCCTGCTCTTACACCTCCTTGTTCTAAACTTCTGTGTTCATCTACCCTAGTTTAGCAATGCGATGCTGTAGCCAGCTTTGAATAAGCAAGTAAATTACAATGGCCCTGGAAAGCAGGACAGCTCTTTTCTCCAAGATGATGGGAAGGGAAAAACAAACAAAAAACCCGAACAAAAAACCCAAACCAAAACAAAAACCCAAACAAACAAACCCCAAAACCAACCCAGTTTTGATATCTAGTTGAAAAACTGGGATAGCAGCAGCTTTCACTGAGTCTCCTAAATTCCTTCTTCCTTTTGAACTCTGATCTCAATTCTTCAGATCCAGGATCATACATCTCCCTCTTATTTCCCACTGTTTTCTTGAGATGGAAGGTTGAGGAGGAAGAGAGCCACAGGAGAGAGATATTAATATCAGAACTGTGATTCTAATATCCTAATATTGAGTGGTAACCCTCTGAGTTGAAAACTTATAGAGGAGAAACACCTGGAGTGGGATTTTGATCTCCTTTCTTTAGATTATTTTTATTTTTATTGCATATCTTAAAGCCCTTGATATATGATGAATTTGCTGCTTCTAACACTGAAATAAAAGAGGATGGAAGAACAACTCTAAAGGAAACAGCATAACACTTTGATAGAGAAAAACTGTCCGTTTCTTTTATTAAAAAGACTTTTTGGTTGGCCAGACTGTGGCTTTGGGAGAAAGCTGAAGAAAGTTCTCCCGATATATTTAAATTGATGACTAAGTTGTCGTCTTGCACTTCATTCTATAATGAGCAGGAATCCCTGAGTGATAAATGATGAATCATGGCTTTGGGGGAACTTCAGGGCTGTACACAGGCCTAGAGACGGGATTATTGAAACCACTAACGAACGCAATGGTCTTCCTGTGATCAAAAGTAAACTTAGCCTATGACCAACTCTACCTGTTCTCAAACCATCTAATTATATAGGCAGACTGTAATGCAGAGATTGTATTTTCAGCTGTTGTAGTACACGGTAGCTGTGGTGGTGCTGGGCTGACAAGGAAATTGTAGCCTAAAGCTTTCTTGATGCTGGAGTGCAGTGCTCATTGCCACACTTCACTTTACTGCCTCTCCTGCAACAAAGTTGACCTCTCCAGTCTTTAACCACCTCTGCAAGGTATGGAATAACCTTACTGTGAGTGTAGTGAAATCCTCATGGTCCTCACTGTATCATTTCCCTGCCTTTGCCCTTCCATTTTCCTTCTCCAGTAGCTACTGTTACACACATGTGATGCTCTGTGCTTTGCAACAATGTAAATTTTACTTTCAGCCTACAGGACCAGGTAGAAAATAGTAAATCAGTGAACAAGAAACTCAAACTGCTTAATGCCACTCTACTAAAACAAGGCAGCAGCCTTGTCTCTTCCACCCTCCTTGCCCTGCAAATTCCTTTAAGAATGAAGCTGGACTAGAGTACTTTCTTAGAGCTTTACTAAATCAAATCGTGCCCTTTCTCCCAGCTGCACAGGAACTGGGCTGCCTGCTCTTACCCTGAGCCAGGGCCCTGTCACTGTGAGTGCTATACAGATATTTATTAAAATCAGTGCCTCCCACAACAGCTTGCAGCTCTCCTTCAAACAATCAGCCTGGTTAATAAGTGGAATTTGTCTGCTCTTTCACCTGCTCCAACAAGGCTCCTCTGTCTTGCACTTCCAACTTAACTACTTAAATTGATGTAACTTCTTCTCGGCTTTGGTTGCCATGTACTTGCTAAAAATTAGTTTCTAAATCTGACAGTACTGGATTTCAGAGAGCTGCATCTAAAAGAGTCTTCATTCTTTTCTGGCATAACTTCTTCCCTGCAGCCTGAGCTGCAAGATCTCTTTCCTTTGCCACTTCTGCTCTAAAACACCTCCTGTCCATCTGCACAAGCCCTAATGATCAATAAGTGCATGTCTTTTCTTCTTTCTCCCCACCCCAGACCATTAACTTAGCTGATGTGCTTATAACGATTCCCTTGCCAGCATGAAGACTCCAAAGCAGCAAAATGCTTAGTTTCTCTAATGCCTAATGAAAGATTAAAAATGAGTGAGCAAAACACATTGCTTTAAAATGTATATTGCATAATAATATTTCATATATAACTTCATAAAGGTCTGGGATCCGTCTCCTGTTCCCAAAGTGATGTAAGTGGGGAGCGATAAGTAAAAAGGCATTGCTAAATCTGTGGGCTATCACCTGGCACGATGTGCTGTATATAATTTTATGTGCTACCTCTAGTTACAGCTGTGTAACCTCACTGAAGCTGGAAGTATGGATAGAGAGAGGGAGAGGAGGCAAAACTTCAATGCTGAGTTAACACAAATAAGGAAAGAAGTATTTAAGTGCCCACTGCCCACTGCTTGGATCGTGGTGGAGCAAAAGCTCTTTTAAAAGGGAATTTTCATCCCTATTTGATGTAATAGAGTAACTGAGCTGCTCTAAGTAAAAAAATGTTCTCAATGACCTGAAGTTTCCTGCTCAATGCCTTGGTTCAGACTTGCCTGGTCATGTGCAAAGGAAACAGATGTGAGAGCGACTGCTGAATAATCACCCTGAGACAGTCATCTCAAATGGAGAGGATTTAAGGATGGAGCCAGCTTGCTTTTGATTTCTGTGGCCTGTCCTATTTCTGAAGGTTTTTTGTCTTGTGCAAAGGGTGCATCTTCCCTAGCTCTGTTTTCCCTCTGCTATAGCCATATATTCTCCAAGTAACTGCTCACCTCTCCTGCTGTAAATCTGTGCATGAGTGTGCAGATATGAAATAATTTGTCAAGAAGAGGTGATACGGTAAGTTGCTGGAAACAGAGCATTTTGGGCTTTCCTGAACTTGCATGCATGCAGAGCAGAGTCTAGAAACTTGAATCCACTGTGGGAGGGTGAGGCAGAATCTGCCTTAATCTGTGTTTTGCTGGCCAGAGGTAGCTGCTTCGCTACCAGTGCTTCTTCCCACACAAGTGCACTCCCAGCTGCTATTTGCTGCCTTCTGATACACTTCAGCAAATACAAAGCATCCCACAGTGCTACTTGTCACAGGACAATGCCAATGTTCCTGAAGCCAGGCAGGATGCTTTTTATTTATTTTCTCCTTCTCTTTACTTGTATCAAAGCAGGTGCTGAAGGAAATCCAGTCCCTGAAGGGCAGCAGGAGTGCAGTTGCAAGGCACCTTGCAACACTGCTGGAATTGAATCTTGGGTGACAGCCTGTCCTTGCCAGTTTGTCCCAGCTGTACTGGAGGTCACAGCATCCTGCCAGGGTTGTGCCATGTCCACCACAGAGCAGTGCAGCTGATAATCCAGCTCTCTGGGCTGTTAGCACCCCCAAATGCTATTTACTCCTGCCATGCTGACTTCTTTCACAGTCATGAAAGTTAGTGGTTTTCTTCTCCAAGCCCAAAAGAGGTTTTATTCCCGTAAGCCATCTGAGCAATGTAAACTCAACCACTGCCATGCTATTAGTTTAGTGCATTACACTTTTGAGTATTTGAGAGCTCTCATGAATTGCTGCTAAAGGGAATTATATTTAGAAAGTATCTTGTAACATACTTAGTGGCTGGTCACTTATCTTGTCTCTGCAGCGTGGAAAGACTTCCAGCCTTCTTGCCTAAGAGTGAATTTGGCATCTTGTGCTCTGATCCCTCTGTATATAAGGCAAATATCAATGTTGGTAGTTCAACTATATGGTGACTTCTAAGGCTGTTACACAGCTCTCTTTTCCTCAGACACTGGTGTTTTAAAATAACATGTCCGTGTTTCTTTAGCTATTGGTTAGAGAGCAGTGTGCCAGCAGATCTGAGTGAAAGTGCATAAGGGAGGTCTGCCTTCCTGAAAAATGCCACTGCTGGAGACAAAGTTTCTATATAAGAATTTCTAGGAGAATCTTAGTGCTGTGAATTATGCTGTGGGCGAGTCAAGCAATAAAGGGGCTCTTGGCAGATGACACCCTATCCTGTACTGTAATCAACAGTATTGAAGTCTGTGGACACATGGCTGATAATTTGAATACCAGTTTTCAGTGACAACTGCTATCCCCATCTGTTTTTCTGTTGCTCTAAATGATTTCATTTGATACTTGTGTTCACTGTTTCCTTGTATGCGTTGGAATGCAGCCCACTTCAGAAAACATGTAATTCAAATAACTTTCTCCAGGAAAGTGAGATCTTTTGAATGCCTGTTTTTTAATCTTCATGTCCCTTACAGCCAGGCAGTTATACAGAACCTGTGTAATACCACAAAGAAATATAGAGCAGAGAATACCTTGGTCTTTTCCTTATAAATATGGAGGGATCACTCTTTGCCACCAGTTTCCGAAGTTGTAATGAGAGTAGAGGGAAGGGTAGGGAAGATAAAGCTTTGAGAGTATTTACCAGACACATGGAAAGCGTGGAGTGGAGCTCTGCCTAGCCCTTTGTTGCTGCCAGGATTATTTTGTGCATGGATTTTTGGGAACAAAAATTTGGTTCCTGTGAGTTGTCTCAGTAAGTTTGGCCATTTCTGCTCCAAGATAGCTGTGATGTGGAGGTAACTTCTACTTTACAAATCTCATATGTCTGGTAGTATGTATATAAGCCAGGCACTAGAGTGGTGTGGTCCAGTCATGAGTCACCCTCCTTTTCCTGCTGCGAAGGAGCACAGTTGAAACTAATTTCTTTCCAGAGCAACACTCTTCACTTTTTCCAGCCTGGAAACTTTAGATCCACAATTCAGAGCTAAATATACTCTGGCTGGCCACAGAGAGTGACTCAGATGCAACAAGCAAGTCTGCCCTATCACTGCTTTCAAAAAGCCCTGGTGCCTTTTCAGAGTGAGTAGCAGAAGCAGGTGGGGGAACTGGGCTGCATTTTAATCTCTTCCCATCCAGTTGTCCTGTCTGCTGCTGGCAAAACTGACTTAAAAAATCAGGAGCCAGTCTCTGCTCTGAAATAATCATTGGGGGTTCTTCCTTCTTTAGGAAAATGCTCTCTGGCACTGGAGGTAGAGTTTTGACGTACCAGTCCAGCAACAGATTTCTTCTGCTTGTGCCGGATATGAAGCACAGACCACAAAGCACAGCATCCTCTTCAGCAGTGGGCTGGAGTGGTGAGTCATTGTGGCTGTTAGCTTTGGAACTGACTTTGATATCTGCAAGAGGAAATCTTCACTATGTCTGGCTTTATCAGAGCACTGTTACGCTGCTGTCATAGCAGCTCAGAGTCCTCAGCTGCTGTGTAATTAGATCAGTGCACATACAAGCAAGAAAAACAGAATGCACATGAAATCACATAACTTATTACTATAAAAGTTAAATATAATAGAGTCTGGATTTTGTGTGAGTAGAGAAACAAGGTAAGCAAAGTCAATGGTGAAAGCTTGACTCTAAACAAGCTCTGAATTGGGATTGTGGTTTGAGCAGGTGATGTTCTTGCCCTGGCCCAAAAAAGGGACTGGCTGTTTATAGTCCAAAGCTGATCCACTGGATGGCTTGGTTTGCTTGGTAACTCCAATAACAATAATAGAACACAACCCTCAGCAGTGCCCCTCTTGCCAGGCCTGGCTTTTCTTCCTGCGAGACCTTTATCTCTTACCTCAGTTCCTTCTGACTCTCAGGCATGTGTTGCATGCATTGGGCCTGGGCTTCCACCTGTTGTAAGCTCCTTCTGCAGGTCCGTGAAACTATTTTGTTTGGGTGTAAACCAATAAGAAGGCTTATTCAGAAATAAGAAATAGTGAAGTAATTTTTGTTTAGCTAGTTCATCTGACAGCCTCGGCTGAGCCTGGTTTTGGTCATGCATGAGGAAAAGATCCATCCCCTGGGCAACTGATTGTTCACTCCATCTGCTCTCAGGTTTTGTTAACTCTGGGTCTAGTATCAAGTGGATGTGTTGATTGCACAGAGAGGAGGGGTCCTGGCAGTAAGTGCTTCTCTTGATGAGGTGCTGCAGAAAGTCATTATCCTGAGCTGTGCTCAGGAAGAGAACATAAAAACAAAGATTATTTAAATTCACTGCTAAGTGTTCCTTATTCGTTTGCACTTGTTGCTTTATTTAGCTTCTGCCTAAGAATTGAATTAAAGGTTGGTAAAAAGACTTGACAGCAACAACTGACTTCTCAGTGCCTTACCTCCCCAGTAACAAGTTACCAGTGGCTGGATGTTTGCTACATGGGCACAAGTCACAAAGGCTCTAACGCGTGCTTATTTTTTTCCTCCCCTCTTCTCTGCAGATTTCTGAGTCCCCTGAATATGCTTATTGGTGGTACAGTGGTGGTGCTGGTGTTCATGGGGTTTGTGTGGGTTTCGCACAACAAGGATATACTCCGCAGGCTGAAGAAGCAGTACCCAACCACATTTGTAGTGGTCATCATGCTGTCTAGCTACTTCTTGATCTCCTATCTGGGAGATGTCATGGTGTTCATGTTTGGGATCACGCTTCCTCTCCTCTGTAAGTATTTTTCCTCTTCTTGGGGTGGCTAGAGGCATGTGGCTTTCTCAAATAAGTCTGCAGAGTCTAAATTGGCTGTTGCCTTTACTGTTACTATTTAAATGATCCCAAAACAAAATTGGGAGGGAGAGGACACAAAACATCACAAGCCATCTTCAATGTTGCTTTTAAAAGGATACCCGTGGTTACTTAACCAGTCATTGAGACTTCATCTTCCTCCAGTGATGTTGTGGCATTGGAGTGCGTCTCTGGAGTGAACACTGCAAGAACTATGCATTCCTTTGGCATTAACAATGAGTGTGTTTCTGTCATGCAGTGATGTTTGTCCATGCTTCTCTGAGGCTCCGGAACATAAAGAACAAGCTGGAGAACAAGATAGAAGGAATAGGCTTGAAGAAGACCCCGATGGGCATCATACTGGATGCTCTAGAACAGCAAGAGGACAGCATCAACAAACTGGCTGACTACATATCTAAAGTGAAAGAGTAAGCAGCTGCAATATGGCATTTGTACCTGTTGCAAGAGTGTAGTTGCTATTTACTATTGTTCAAGCTTGCTTTCAGTTTGTGTACAAACCAGGAAATGCACGTGATACAGATTAATAGTTGCAGGATACAGGTATTCCAAGGTCTTCAGGGCTCCTCTGAAAACATAAGAGCAGCAACTTTTTTCTATTGTATAGCAAAATGTTCTGGTGTTTACACAAATACATACTAACTTAAATGTGTTTGCTTGTCTCTTCTTCTGGGGATAGAGGAGGAAGAGATGGAAACCTATGGAATGCAGTCTCTCAAACTGTCTTGTAGCAAATTTGTGTATTAAAAGTAACACCCCTTCCATCTCAGTTCTACAAGGTGGCGGTTTAGCGAGTTTATGCTGGGTGGCACCTTCAGGCTGGCAATGCTCAAGGTGAGCTGGAATGTGTCAAAGGTGTCTCTTGCATCCTCCAAATCCCTCACTTGAGTGGTCTGCATTGAGACCACACTGCTACCTTAACTGGCAAGTGGTAAAACTGTGCAATACTTGTCATGAATATGGGTTCCTGTCCTCGCCTCACGCTCCCCCTTTAGCAGCCAGAAAACAGTCTGAGTAGATCCAAGCATGAAGAATATACATGGCACTGTGCCTCTGTCAGTTCCAGTAAAATGCACCTTTGCTCTCTCCAAAATCTTGATCTATAAAAACTGTTCTTTCCTTGCATGCCAGCGAAACCGTGGCCAGGCACAGGAGGATGAAGTTTTCAGATGGGTTGGATGAGCTAGGTTTCTATCCTATTGGTGTTTTAAAATACTGCTGCTTTAGGACTTACCTTGTTCTGCTTTAGTCTGTATAGGCTGTTTTGTAGTTGGAGGTGTATGTGTGTTCTAGAGCGTGGGTCATCTTTTTCTTTCTTCTTAACCAGAACGCAAAGGTATAAGTAAAACATGCATCTCACTGACTCTCTACTTCTGACACTCTTCAAAGGAATAAACTGGATTTCAGGTTTACAAGTAAAAGCAATAAATGTCAAGACACAGTTTTTGAAAACCCATTCCAAATTCATGAAGATACTTGCCTGTAACAACTCCTGAAAGTGGTGTGTGGGATTCTTTTATATATATTTTAACTTAACTGCCAGCTCTGATGGAATTATCTTGATAATAGGAGCTTACCAACAACAGAGGGGGAAAAAGTTGTCCAGGTGACACTCATTTCAAGTATTATTGCATTTCTCTTTTCTAACAATGTAATTGATTTAACAAAAAAGCAAGGATCCTTAAAGTTGAAGCTTTTATGTAACTTACCATGCTGTTTCCATAGTGGACTGTGTAGGAATCTGAACACGTCATTCCATTTAAGTGTTAAAGTGATCAGTATTTATTGAAAATGTCTGTATATTCCAGCTGAAGAGTCAATGGCCTGTTCCTCACTTGTAGCGCATGGTCTTTGTTTTTTGAAAACTCTTTCCACACTTAAAGAACATAGTAGCCTATGACTTCATCATTACTGTAGAATTTTAAAATGAAGAAAAATAAACTCTAATGGTGATTACTGAGTGCATTTCTTTTGATGGAGAAATGTGGCTGGAGGTGGGAGTGTGTCTCTGTTTCTGTGGTTGGTGGAACTCCCTGCAGTGGTGGTAGCAGATCTGTCTTGTGCTGAACTCCTGGCTTTGAATGCTCTGCATGTGGATTAATTTTGTTGAAGCATGAGGGACCTCTGAGCTGCAGGGACCTTATGGCCTTGCTCTTGCGTCCTTTGTAAAGAAGCCATTCTGAGGTGGAGTACTTACTTGTTTGTTCGTGCTGTTTCAGTCTCTTATACAACTCGACTTGACTTAACTGGGATTTTACATTTCTTCTAATTACCTGAGAGGGATTTCTGCTTCTAGGATTACTGAGAGCTGTGCCTCGAATGGTGCCAGGAAGCTAATTCTGCTGCAGTCCAACTAGGACTGTGTTCTCTGGATCTGCCTCCCTCCTCCTGTGATCACTCAAGAACACAGAGCAGAGCAGGGCTTCACAGGTCCTGCTGTGGACAGACCCTGGCTTCTGGGTGTAGCAGTAATGTGCACCTGGCAGCTTGAGCTGGAGATTAATATAGTATATAATTATAACAGATAATAGATATATAATATACAAAGTATATTATTAATATGTATATAGAATATATTTTCCTTTGTACTTGCCTGTCCCAAGTGCAGATCTTGGCTGTGCTAGCCTGGCCTTGAAGCCAGCATGGAGAGCAGCGTGCTCTAATGGCTTTCAGGTGGAGCTGCTTTTTGCCCTTGGCATTTGCTGCCCTGCTCCATGAGAGGGCTTGGTTACAAGTACCAAGTTCCTTCCCTTTCCTACTCTTATCTTTACAAAAAGAGAGGACTTGTATGAAATGGGTGCAATGAGAATGTTACTTCCTTTTTATGACTGCCATACAGAAATAGCTTTCCCCTCCCCTTTACATGATGCTTAATAACTACTTGTTACGTCTTAGGCAATACAGCAACCAGGTTTCCCAAGTCTGCAGCATTGCAGCCACAGACAGAAGCAGAGCTGAGAAGGATCTTTACAAATTTGGAAGATGCAGATTTGAAAGAGACCAGGTGATGGATACAAAAAGGCAAGGAAAAACGAAAACTTGAACCAGTGACAGTGTAGACTACATTGGATTCCAAGAAGTCCTGGACATTGCTGATACTACAGGACTATAATAATAAATGTGGGGAAGGGGGAGCAGGGTGGGACTGGGATTTAGCTGCCAGGTAAAGGTTGCTGAGAGTTAGTCAGGAGCAAGGAGAGACTCACCTGAAAGAAATCCTGCAAAGCTGTGCCTTTTCAGAAAGGGAATCAGCCACAGAAAGGCAGGGAGGCTGCACATTGGCAAAAGGAAAGGCTTTGTTCTTTCCCTGTAGCTTACAGCTTTAAACAAAAACAAACAATAAAACCCCCAACAATAACTGGTCTGTGTGACTTACCTGTAGATGCTTTCCAAAAAAAGGCTTGCAGCAAAAAAATTAATGTGATTAAAAAAGGGGAGGAGAAAAAATGTCACAAAAATATTAACCTATGCAGGTTTAACCCCATCATCTCCAGCCCTGCTAGGGGTGCGATGTCCTTTTCACACCCCATATGAGGAGGAATGATGGATTTCTTCAACCCCTGGCAAATAGAGGAGTAAGGCTCATCCCTCTGCCACTTAAGGGAGAGTGTGGAGAGAGACCCAAAATGGCATTTCAGTGCACTCTAAGGTGGCTATGGTTAAGGATTGCATCATGAACAGAGGTGAGTTGTGGGGAATTAAGATTACAGCTCTTAAAACAGAGCATGGCATCATCTTTTTTCATATGCTCTGCAATAGAGGTAGCTTGAAACCACCAATCCAAGGTGTTTGAGGTACCAGAGCAGTTGTTCTGTTCTGTGAGCATATCATTAGCTATGGAAGGGCTGCACACATCTTATGGAGAGCACTTTATTTGATTTCTGTTTCCTTAGCCTAAAAAATGAAGCTGTATACATGGAAACCAAGTACATTTCTCATGGACAAGAGTAATAAAGGAGCGTGTGTATGAAAAGTAAGATAAGATAAAGCACAGCA